GCTTTTCAGTGTACCCAGAGGCAACACAAATGCATCTCTGGAATATTAATAAAATTCTGAATCTTTGAGACACCAACTGGTACAGCATTGCTTATACTGATTGAAACTAAATGCTAATCCTTTCCTTTATTTGAAAAAAAGTCCCCTTTGTTATTTAAAACACTGATATTAGTGTGATATAAAGGGCCATTTTATTTTAAATTGTATTGTAATGTAGTTGTTAAAATAATGTCTAATCATACTATATTCAGATTCTACAATGTAAATTTGATGAGACAAGAATCCAGTCATTTTACAGCCGTGAAAACAGAGACGTATGTTAATATGTCCAGTTGTTCTAATTCTGTAAATTTATTAAGGAAATATCTGGTTTTAGATTTTAATCCTGGAGGCTTCCAAGTAACTGATTCCTGAATGCTCACTCGGAGATGGTTTTGCTTGTGAAATTTAATAAGCTAGATTCTTGCGGGGAAAAAAATCAGCGAGGATTTTGACATCCATAATGAAGTGTAAACTTTATTACTGATCTGGTTCTGCCTTTTATACATTGGTTAACTTGGTTGGTCTAATGACAGCCATCTCTCTGAATACACATACACATTCTGCTGTGTTTGAATCAGCAGACGGGCTGTGGATATAGATAAACCAAGACTGTAAATTATGTTTTGCCTGTTTATTCCTGCTGTTCTGAAAGCAGGGCATGAAAGGAGCAGATTGCATTGTTCACAGGGAGAAGGCAGTAGCTATACCATGTCCCCCTTACCAGTTCTAATAGGTTGGATGTTTATTTTTTGGGTTTGCTTTGTTAACCTGAAGGCAGATTGAGAAGGCAAAGAAATGAATATGCTTCCATCCTTGTGCTGCCTGGACTTTGCTCAAAACTAATCTCCTGTAAACTTAATGAAGCTTTATAGGTTGAGTTTTCACTCTGTAAAATTTTTTGATCTGTTTCCAAATTCACCTTCCTCACCATCTCTCTTTCCTGATGTTTTTGTTTCATGCTGTTGGTTATTGTCTCTCTGCTCTTTGTCCTTCCTCTGCCTCTTTCAATGGTATTTTTTGGTTCCTTTCTGTGCTTGTTTGTTACTCCTCTTCCCTTTCCCCCCTCACAGATTTTTCCTCCTCTGTCAGCCTTCTGCTCCTCAGGTTTTTTTCCAAATGTTTCTCTCAGTTCCTCCATTTGGTTCCCTAGTCCTTCCACGAATGTGTATTTCCTAGCTCCCATTCTGCTTTCCACATTCCCCTTCCAGGTTTTACTGTCTGATTTCTGTGTTTATCTTTTTTTATTTTGTCCCTGCTTTTCTCAATTCAGATTGGTTTAAAATACTGTAGGAAAAGCTGCTCTTGAGAAATTTTATCCAGATTGCTCAAAGAGCAGCTGCTGTTCTGGCACTTCAATACTGAATCAAACCTGAGCCCAGGGGATAGGAGGTCCTTAAAGGATCAAAGTGCAGCTTCAGAATCCTACCCAAAATATTTGCAAGCAGAACATGAATGTAAACCCACAACTGAGAGTAGCTGAAACCTCTTCCCACAGTTTTGACGTGATCTGGTATTTTAAGGGTGGTGTTTAGTTTTGGTTTGTTTTTTTTTTTCTTCTTCTGAAATAAGGATTTTTTTCTCTCCTTATTTAGCATTCTTGAAACTCCAAGCAGGGAAGAGATATCATGCATCTTGAGAAGGCCCTAGGGCCCCTAAAATTTTCAGTACATTTTTGCTGCTTTGCTTAATATATAAACTCATTTAAATACTAAGTTTTGAAAAGCTATCACGAGAAAATTCTGAGTCAGTAAAGTTTCTGCTCTTACTGAGGCTGCAGGTTATGTGAAGTGATCAGAGATGCTGAAAAACATCTGAAAGATTTTTCTGAACTGAAAAAAGCTCTTCAGGAACTTCAAATTAATAGAAACATTTTCATAAAATCGTGAAATAGAAATATATAAAGAAAAAAATTGTTAAAGTAAATGGCTCCTGCCTTGAGGATTTGTTAATAAATTCTTATGAATACAAACGTGAAAGTAAAGTTTATTAGCAACAAAATGAAAATTGCTACTTCCCATTTTTTTCAACTGTGAGCACTGAACTTAGTTTCTTTTTAATACTATATTTTGTCTCATTATCTTAAATTACATTCATGGTAAAGTTACTTGCTTTTTAAAAAGTACCACTTTCAATATAAATTGTGTGTGTCTGTAGCACTGAAACAGAGAAGCTGCCTGAGTTAACTTATTTGATTATTCACAGAAGAAGCCACCCAGATTCCTGAAGTTCAGTGAGCAAATGGTTTTTATCAGTTTCATAAATCTGTTTGTATGTGCAAAATCTATAAATACTGTTACCTTTTGATTGCATTTGGTATTCAGAAACCAAATGATACCCTGTTCTGCTTCTGATTTTTATTTCAGTTGCATGGCATTTCAAGCTTAATTTAAACACAATAATAACAAAGTCTATGTCTAATGCATTGATTTCATTTGTAAAGCCACCTAGACAGACACACATGTCAATAGGTTTTTTTCTTACTAGTTATATATCAGGAATGCTTTAGACATGCTTTACCTGCATTTTATGTGGGGCAAAGCATTGATTAAAAGATGATAGTATTTGAATGTGGTTTTGCACAAAAAAGTGCAGGAAATCTAAAAAAAAATAAAAAATTCTTAATAGGGTAAGGCTTGATATACAGACTTTAAAAGTATGAAATGATAGGCAATGTTCTGTCTTCAAAGAAAACATTGAAACTTACGGTCAATTAATACAGTATTTCATAAGATGTTTGTCTTTCCAGGCTGCATCAGTCACATAACAGTGAATAAACCGTGAATAAAACACAGCTCAGTAATTGCCTGGTGTTTTGTTCTGTATATGCAAACATCTGATTACTGGTGTGGTTGTAGCAATCTGGTAGAAATCCCCATGCAAGCACAGAAGCTTGGTCCAGGCACAAGGGATTTCACTTCTGGCTTATATGCAATGCTGTATAGGCTGTTCATATTTCTTCATTTACTTTATCCTCTATTCTGACTACTCTGGTGGTCTGTATTAGACTGCAATTAAATCTTACTTACAGATCTTGAAAAGAGTGTGAACAAAGCTTTAATGTGGTTTGGCAGAGCCAAACCCCTTAAAAGGCTTCAGCTGCTCAGCAGCCACCTCTCCGTGCTTTGCTCAGTGGAAAGGCAGCTCCTCACTTTGCAGTGAGGGTATCTGGTACCCCCCAGAAAATACTCCTCAGTGCCTCAGTGGCTGAATTCCTCACATGACCTTCAAATGAACACCCATTCTCATCATAATTTCTTCTGGTTGGTTGAAGTGCTTTGACTCTGACCATTTATGATTCTGTTTACTCTTTGGAGGATAACTTATCTGAATTCAAACCCTGAGATGCGTCAGTGCAGGTGTTTTTAAGAGAAGGTGGCTGCCTTAATGACTGCATTGAAAATAAATATATTATTATAATACTCTTTAGAGGAGGAAAGGTAAAGAGTGACACTGGTTATGTTTTATTTTTTAATGATCCTACTAAATCTCATTCTTTGCCATTCCACTCTTCTTTTAAATTTCTACACCGAGCAATTTAAGAGTTAAATTTAACAGAGATTAAAATCAAGAAAAATATTTTTTTTGTGGAGAAACTGAAGTCCAGGAATATATTATTTTGTACTGATTAATTTTATTCTAATTTTTTATATATTGCTTACAGGTGCAGTGAAAAAGTATTTTTGTCAGTAAAATGCTCTTTATGAATCATGGATAGAATCACATTTTCCTCAACCAGCCTCTTCTGGGGGAAGCCCAGGTGCCCTCCTTGCAGCACAGTGTAAAGGTTTGGAGCCTTGGTGTCAGCCCAGATGTGAAAGCTGTCCCTGCAAGGCAGACACAGGCTGAGCACATGTCTCTTCTCAATCACAGAGGCTCCAGCTTGGCTCACCACCCGCAGCCTGGGCAGGATTTCTCCTTCTCCTAGGCTTCAGAAAAGAGTCGGCGACCATCAGGTGGTGCAACAAAGGTGGTGGCACTCTTTTGATTGGAAAAAGGCACAAAAAAAACCTTTTGTGGACATTTACACTATGTTGTTGGGCTTTTCCCTCTTTTCCACGTGAGGAGGTAATAGAGGACTGTGTCTTCTTTGGGGTTTATGGGAGCAGTTGCAGCCACTCCACACACCTCAGTGTATAAAGAAATGAGAAAATAAAAGTTATAGGAATTAGTGAAATAGTCCTGAAATAACATCTGCTCCAGGCTGTGTTCAAGGATAGGTGGGCTTGGTAGGATATTATTTCTGGAATTTCCTTGTAGGAGTAAACTTTTGAGACCTGTGAAGTTCTGCTGAGCGCCCTGGAACTTGCCATGATGTGCTGCCCACATGAAGAAAATTAGCAGCTGTTTTTCTTAAGGTGCGATTAGGAGAATGTTTCTTGAGAATTGTTTAACTAAATAGTATTTCTAAAGAAAATCCTTGAAACCCAACTTTCTCCCAAATGTATCTCAGAAATCCCAGCTGCCTGGTGGCCTGTGCTTGGCTAGTGGTGTAACCCAGGCATGGTCACTCCATTCCCAGATGGATGTCTCTGCAGTGGGGAGCCTGGCTATGAGGGACAGCTCCATCTCACTTTTGGTGGAAAGCGTCAAAAATCTGACTTCTCAATATATCTCTGAAAGTACTGAAATTCCTTGTTATAACAGAATTTATGTTTTCAAACTAATCCTGTGTTTTAAGTCTGTATTTTCTTCTGAACCTAAAATTCAGATGAAATTTCTAAGCTTGTTTGTTGCTATGTTCTTAAAAAAATGTAGGTTGAATTTCAGGGACATTTCCACTGCTACTTTGTTCAAGAAGGATTTATGCCTCTGAGAAGTCATCTTAAACAAATTCTTCGGCAGACTCGCATGTTGAATGGGTTTTAACTTTGAAATTGGAAAGAGAAAGTTTTTTGTCCTGTTTCAAGTGAAATGAGACCTGTGTGTCTGAGCTGCTTTTCTTTGCTCCTCTTTTTCAGTGCTTTCCATCAAATAATTGCTGAGCCAGTTGATCAATTTCAATCAAGTGGGGCAGAAGGAAAGAGCTGTGAGACATGAAGTTTCGGAAGAAAACAGGTTCTTCAGTATGTCCAAGGGTCCTTGAAGAGTGCTTTTACCAGGGAAAGTGATCACAACGCCAGGAGCACCCCAGCAGAGGTTGTTACCTGCCCCAGTGGAGGGGTTCATGAGGGGTCCTTTGGGAACTGGCACCTCTAGGGCATGGGAGGCTCCTCTGCCACCAATGGCACAGTGAGGTCTTTGTCAGGTCTTTGTCAGTGAGATATTGCTCAGAAGCATCTTGTTGTCTTGTGCTTGGGTCTCGGCCATGTAATGTAGTTTACATGAGGCCCAAAGAACACACCTGTCTTGGGGTAGCTAGGTTAGCCAGAACTGACAATTAGATGTTAAATAATTAAATTGTTTTAGCTATTAATTGTAAGTGAATGTTGTTTTTAATTGCACTTTAATAATGCCATGCCCTTTATAACCAAAATTAATGTTTTCTGTCTCTCTGTTTTTGAAGTACATGTCAGTTTAATTAAACTATTAATGGTAGACAGATTTTAAGTACTTTATATTCTTCATTAAATTGTATCTGCTCAACAAGCATAAACAGGAAAATAGACTCAGAAGGAGATTCATGTTCTGCCTGATAAATCATTCATCATCAGATAAGATGATGAGGCATGCTTGTTTTTCTGTAGGCTCACAATGATAAACAAATCCACTTTTGTGTTGTAATATTTATTGAGTTCATAGAAAAATAAACAAGACTGTTCACTTTTAATATCAGCAACAGGCCTGAAAGCTGCTGTTTGCATTTATGACTGGTCAGTCAAGCAATATCTTGATGCTCTGAGGGTCAGTCTTAGTTCATTTTGTCTAGAGTGCTTGTTAGCAGAGCATTTCTCTGGTCTAAGATATAGTTCTTTCAGCGCCATTCAACTGCAGTAACGATGAATATTTCTGCTGTTCCCACTGTGTTGCCCAATTGTGTGTGGAAAGAATTAAAATAGCTTGTGATTTGGCAGAAATGATATATTTATAATGCAAATGTTGAGTAAGTCTGAATCCTTGTAGGACTGCAGGAAGGTTGTTGGAAACAATATTTTGAAGATTGAGAAAGACAAATTATGGCAAGGTCATTTCTTCTCTATTGGTAAAGTCTGCAAATCCTAGTGGGCTGTTAATGGGGTAACAGGCAGAAACTAAGAAACACTGCAGCAACTGCTTGTGATACATTCCTGTGCATATTATACAGGCAGACAAAGATGTAACTGGTTATAATAGAGACAACAAACGTCCTTCTTTTGTGTGGCAGATCAATCAATAGCCAGGCATGTGATCTTGTTCACTATTATGTTAGTAATGAAACCTTCTTGTGATGTGACAACTGTGGAATAACATTTGGTCACAAAGCTGGTGTTAACAAGCACAACTGGCACTCTGGTAATTAGACTGATTCCTGGTCTACTTTCACAGATTGTCGATAAATGCAGTAAACAACAGGCTGCTTTCTCTCAGAAGAAGTTATATGAAGTTGTCATCCATTTGACGGTGTGTACTGTATTCTCCTTCATCTTCTATCAGATCCTGCCAAGGTGGGGATGTGCATGTATTTCGCTATAAAATAATTTTTCACAGTAGAAACTTTGAGTCCATTGTTAAACAATCACCTAATTAATGTCAACCTTTTTTTTCTCTAGGCAAGAAAGCTAATTTCTCAGTTACAGGTAGGCAGTTAGATGGAGATGTTCTTCCTCAAATTTTCAATGTTCTCCCCTGTGATACAGCTGTGTCTGCTGTGGACTGCCATTTATATTGTTTAAGGATAAACCGAAATCTTAAAAACCATAGATTACCCTTGATTTAAAGGCCAAGAATATAGATAATATAAAAGTGTAGTATAATTTTTTACATTAAACAAAATAAGTACATTCAGCCACGGATGTGCTAGCCAGCTTTTCCATCACCAATTTAGGGTTGTTATGTCAAAACTCATTTGCTGTTTTGCTCTTTCCACAGACCTGCAGTAGTGGAAGGGTGAACTGGAGTTTGGTCTTTTCACCCTCATGGCAGAGTAAGAAGGAATGAGAACTCCTTCCCTAGGCCCTGTACCTCCTCCAAGCCCACAGCCTGGCTCTGCACGTAGGAGAATGTGTGAATGCTGTAACTCTCGTCCACTTCCAAAGCAGAAGAATTGAATCAACTGAAGTATGTCTGGGGAGATTTTCAGTTTATTTTGCATTGGCTAAGTGGCAAAGCTTAAGCTGTGGAGGCACTGTAAACCAGCAAGGGTTTCTGTGTTTGCTCTTCTTTCACGAGGTGCACTCAGAAACTGGAAGCAGTGCAGAGTGGATGATGAGTAGTGGCAGTGTCACGGTGTGTCTGGGCACTGGTGCTACATGGCACTTTGCTCAGATCAGTTGAGTCCAGCTCCATCCTGATTTCAAGGGTTCTTACTGGTTTGATTTGACGAGGAAGGGTTTCTTTCTTGTGCTGGGCCATGTTTTGACCACTTGCTGCAACTAAATTCACTCTGAAACTTCAAGAGAATAGTGAGTATCTCTTCATGGCCATTATCAGTTGTTGCCAGATTGTAATTCCCTTTGTAATGGATGAAAAGCAGCGGGAAGGAGTGTTTTACAGTAGGTAGCTAGTTTTATGCAGGTTTAATACTGGAAGATGCCCTATTAGCAGTCAGTAAACATAAAAACTAAATTCACACTCATAAACCAGGGAGATGTTTTGGACACATTCACTGAGCCATAGGTATCAAGAAGTTAGAGGATACAAATAGCAGTGAATGCAGTGTGCTAATCTGAATGGTTGGAAATGAATATCAGAGGTGTTTGTTGCTGCTCCTTGCAGAGCATTCTCTGTTCTGACAAACCACTGAGAAAGACCAGTGAGGCTCTCTAAGGCTTCTAGGTTTGTACCCTACAGACCCCTAGGAAAGAACTGTGGAAAGTAACAAAAGAATGTGGGGGATTTTGTCTGATGGGTAAGAACAGTGTTCAGTGAGGGATTAGCAAGAGGCCTGTGGGTGCACCGAAATGCCGTGTGCTCAGAGAAGGGGCAGAGTGAGGATCTCTTTTGACTTGTGGCTGGCTGTAGATGGTGGTATCATTTTGAGTGAGATCTCATATCACACAGAATCACAGAATGGGTAAGGTTAGAAAGGACTGCAGTGGATTGTCTGGTCCAACCTCCCTGCTCGGACAGAATCATTGTAGAGCACAGTGTGCAGGATTTTGTTCAGATAGTTCTGGAATTTTTCCGGTGGGGGAGACTGGAAGTCAATCTATTCCAGTGCTTGGTCACCCTCACAGCAAAGATGTTCTTCTTTGTATTTAAGTGGAACTTCCTGTACATCGATTTCTGCTCATTGCCTCTTTTCCTGTTGCTCAGCACCCCTGAGCAGAGCCTGGTCCATCCTTTGACACCTCCCTTGAGACACAGAGAGGGATATGATTCCCTCTCAGTTGTCTCTTCTCAGCTGAACAGCCCTAGCTCCCTCAGTCTTTCCTCATGATATGCTCCAGCCCCTCCATCATTGTCAACTTCCACTAGACCTGCTCCAGGAGCTCCATGTCTCTCTTGCTTCGTCCTTCTCTGCAGCTGGAAGGACAGAAATGAACCAGCTTGTGCTCCAGATCCCTTGACCTGTTGACCTAAGGCCCTGAGGTCCCTCTTGATTGTTTGCAGCCTTCTTGTTGGGACCTTGTCAGTGCCTACCTGGAAAACCAGTTCAGGGTAACAATCGATGGGAAGTTTCTGGGTGACGTCTCTTGCGCAGGCTGCAGAGAGGCAGCGTGACTCCCTGTGGCTTGGGTCTGGTTGGTGATTGGGCCCTCCATCCCCCTCAAAAGCAAGTCACCAATGACTACTGCCTTCCTTTTTTTCTTCATGGAGGAGGTTTTGATGCATGTGGTAGGCTGCCCTGCCCTAGGCAACACCTCCATCTTGGAAGAACCTTCATCCATGTACACATTTCCCTGGTCCTCATTTTGCTGATTCTCAGATATTAAGGCCTCATATTATTTTATAAGGGTACCTGGGAAGGCAAGGTAAGTTGGGGGCAATCATCCCCCACCCCAAGCAGAAACCCATTTCCACTCCACATAGTCCTTCCTTGGTTGGGAAGGCTCTACAGGAGAGCTAGGTCTGACCTCCTTCTGAAAGCAGGGTTAGCCATGAGGCCAAACCAAGTCACTCAGAGTTTTGTCTGGTCTGCTGTAGTGAACCTTCAAGAGTGGAGATGATGCAGCCTCCCTGGGATGCTGCTTCACTGCTGTTCTCCTACCCAGAAATCACACTTCCAGTAAAAATGTGTCTTTTCAATTGTTTCTCCGGTTTCAACTTGATTTTGTTTGGACTCAGTGCTTCCCAGAGTACCACATAGATTACTATGGCCAAGCCTCACATCTGTTCATAAAAGACTCAAATCTGCTGCTGATGCAACACTGAGATTGCATTGACCTGTCAGTGGGAGTCCATAAGCAATGAATATTTTTTTGCTGCAGGAAGTCAGAAAATAAAGCCTTAGCTTCTAGAAGAGACTGGGTTCAAGTACCACTACCTGCAGTAGGTAACAAGAACGTTTGTGTCATTTAAAAAAAGAAGCAGTTGCTCAAGAGCATGTTGAAAGCATCACTTGTTTGGAAAAAGAACCTCTGAACTTGGGAGATAACTGAAGAAACAATACAAGTACATGTTTTGTACATTATATTATTCATATAATTTAAGCTCTGCTGTTTTGAGAAGGTTTCACCATGCATATTACTTTGTAAAATGATGACAATGCAGAGTGTTTCCAGCACTTGGCTGGAAAATCTTAGCCATGGCTGCGCTATTCAGACCTTGTTGATGCACTGCTTGTAGAAAAGGTTTTTGTCAGGAAAAAGCGCAGTGTTCTCCCTTCTTAGGAGTATATTTCACATTCTAAAGTGATTTCTTTTGTAACATTGAATAAATTCTAGTTTACTAGATTCGATTTCTAAAGAAATGTAAGGAACAGAGTACAACTAAGTGACAGATAAGATGCCTTGGCATTTTGTGTTTATTTGCCATCAGTTACTTCCATATTAAATTGTTCCATTTACAGGCTAGTATAATTTTTTTCCTAAGCACCTGCTGCTCTGTCTAGTTGTGGAAAATGAAGCTCAGTTGTTTATAACCTGTGCTGTACTTCATCACTAACCTTCACCAAATGTAGGAGTTCTGGAATGAGAATAAAGCTTCACCAGTGGTAGCACAGCATGAGGCAATGTATAATGCATATTACTGTGGTGCACCTGTGCTAGCTTTCCCTTGCTTATTGGGATAAAAAGTGCACTTTATTAGCAGGCAAATAGGTAAAGCTTAAGAGGCCAATCTTCTGTACTTGGCATATAGGGCTCCCATTAACATTAGTGAGTAAAATGGATATATTTTGACGAGAGAGCAAGGACTTAAGAGGACAGAAACAAGATGACACTTTCATAGTCACTTCTCTGACCAAAACTGAATGTTTTGAGTCTCTAAATGTAAAGATTGCATCATGTGTTTTTATTAACTGTCAAAAACCTAGTGAGGAAACCAGGTCTAGTCTCTACCTTTGAGAGAACAAAATGCCAACTTCTCCCCTGCCTGTGCTTAAGCCTGTACTCAGTAAAACACCTTTCTGCCACCTTTCCCACACTGATAACAGTTACCTTCTTGTTTTCATCTTCCCTGTGGAAATTATTAATTAAACATTCTTTAAGAAGAAAGCTTTGTTGCTATCTAGATATTTCAGATTTTTTTTTTGCATCTTTTGAAGGCTGTGGGTGCATGAAAGAAGGTGGTGAGAGAAGGATGAAGATCACAGATATTCCTCTGGTGATGCACAGAGGTTTTGTGGCTCTGTGATCTCCAGCAGCTTTTTGTGGCACAGCCCATGCAGACCAGACATGCTGTTGGGGTGGATGCTCTGTGATGGCTGGAGGGAAGAGACCAGCCTCTCCCTGAAATGACAAAGGTGGTGTTTCCCCAGTGTTTAGTGTAGGCAAAGAATTCTCTGTACATCCTTTTTGACATGTACAATGTACCTGTCTTCCCAATTTCTCACAGAGAGTTAGACTCTGAATTTTTAACTTGCAACTAAGCAAGGCCACTACCTAGAAGAAATGAGAGATCACCTGAGGAGGTTTCTGAACTAGGTTTGCTGGGGAGCCTCAGGCTTATTCTGGCTTTTCAGGATGCAGCAGTAGCCAAGAACATTTATTCCCATTTCCACTTGGCAAAGAGGATTTTTTTTCCTTCTCTTTTCTTTCAGCTATGGGCTTCATTGCAATTACTTTTTTATCTGTCTTTCCAAAATCCAATTACTGAAATGCTACTTTTTAGATGCCCTTAGCCAATACCCTGAGTGTACATTTGAAACAGCTAGACAGATATGATGTATAACAGCTTTTTGGTCGAGTGGCAAAACTGAATCCAACCCAAATGAACCTGAATCAGGAAGTTTAATAAGTCTTTTATGAAGTTAAAAAAAAAGTTATTTATATTCTACATTGAAAGAAAAAAAAGCTTAAATATTTGATGATTTCTTTTCCAGTTTTTTTTTTTTTTAAGTAGGTATTTTTTTTCAATCATAACACATTTTCATTTCTTAGCGGTAAAGCTATTTTTAGGAAAAAACCTCACTTTGGAGTCTCACTTTCAATACAGTAAAAATTGTTCCAACATGTAAAAAAGAAGAAAAAAAAAATCCCTTGTCAGCCGCAGCTGTGTCCTGCACTGAGCACGGTGCCCGGGCTGCTCTCATTGCTGTGTGCCCTGCTGGAGATGGGTGGTGCCCGGCCACAGTGTCCTGCTCTGTCCTGCGGGTCTCGCTGCTGCCTCCACGGACCGGCTCCACTGAGGGCTGATACTCACCAGGCTCACCTCAATGTGCTGCTTTTGTATCTGTGCAGCTCTTGTGGTACAATCTAGGCAGGGCATGATTAAAGAAGATGACCCAACTTTCCTGCTGGCCAGCTAAGTTTCATGAACTTCTTGGGAAATTCAAAGCCTGGTTATTTTTTTAGTGTGTCTGCTGGGGAGATAGCTTCCTGACACATTCGAGATATTTTGTCACTTGGAAACATTGAGCCAATTTAGTTAACGTTTTAATTTTTGTTGGATTTATAATTGCAGTCATGTGTCAAGAGGTAAGTTTAGACAGCTTGGTAAGCTGGAGAAGCTAGCAA